ACACACAAAAAAAACTACTTTGAGATAAAGGTTAAAAATGAGACAAAATCAACGTGCGTGAGATACATAGGGTCAGAGTATGACGTATAGCGTGGCCAAAATGATTTTTAATTAATTACTCGCAAGTCATTGCGATTATTCTACAGCACATTGTAAGTGTACTAGACAGGGTTGGCACCCGAATTTTTCGAGACAGTTCGTTTTAAACGATGTTGTCCTGCGTCCTGATTTCTTATTAATTTTGTCTCGATTTTTGATAAAAGTCGACAAAAAAAATATTTCATTAAAATAGTTTACAATCACCTATCGTTCATACTAATTTCTTAGATTGCTATTTGTCACCTTAATTAATTAAAATAGATAATACAAAAAAGATCTTTTTCATTTTTCCGGTAGTCTTTTGATGATAATAAGAATCAATATTGGACTGAAATTCGATTACTTCTGATGAACGTCCGATGTCCCGAATCTTGTTTCCCAAAAGGTGGCAACGCTGATACAAGACGGTTCTTAAATTATAATGCGTATGAATAAAAACTATTTTTTAAGAATAATCTGCTGTGTATCAGAGGCGCTGTGTCCCTATAATAACTGTCTTTGACGTACGCGACCGATTTCACCGTAGGAGCCAGGTTTGGTGGGGTTCCCCAATAGACGGGTTAGGACGGGAGATTGCTCAATAGCGTCTCTTCTGTCTTTGATAGGGGACAGCCTGCTAGGTTCGCGCGCTTACCGAGTATTGCACGCTTCTTGTCTTGTTTGAGGGGAAGAGCTGAAGTGTCTCTGAGTTGTACCTCCAACCCGTAGTGGGACCGGAAAGGGAAAGGGCGCAGAGGAACATCCGTGGGTTTTAGTGGGTATGCTTCTGTATTTTGATTAGCCCCCTTCAGGGGGCGACACCGCAGGAGATAGCCCCACATATCGTTGACCCGCGCAGGGGAAGCAAGGTATATAATAATGCATTACCCATTTGAAAAAAGGCAAGCCTTAGGGGGAGAATGGAAGTCATTCTAGACTGTTTATAAAACGAAATTATTATTCATTTTTCCTTAACATTTTCTGTATATACGCGCATAACTTCCAAACGACTGCATTAATTTAATGATTCTTTTTTATGTGTTCCTTTCCTTATTGTCAGGACAAAGTATGTATATTAGAAAATTTTTAAAAAGATATAATATATAAAAAACGGGTACCTATATGGCGGTATGAAGGTCACCGGGTCAGCTAGTAATAAATAAACAGAGATTGGATAAATCTTATTTTTATATAACATGGTTTTCTCCCATGGTTGGGGTTGGCAGTTTTTTTTTTTATAGGGGATGGATCTATGTCATGTTCTTTTCCAATCACTCCCTCGTGAATGACAGGTCACATTAGAAACTAATTATAGTTGAAGCACATTAGCTTTTAAACAAACGATTGTAAAACTCATTTCGTTCACATTCTTCGACATCATTGATGAAGATTATTGAGCTCTTAGCTTTAATCACAAATTTACTGAATTTAAAACATATCATGTGTTCCTATGAATAAAGAGTGATGGAATGAAATGTTTGTAATTCTAGAACTCTTTGTATATTTTTTAAAAGAGGAATGAGACAATCTTTTATGTCTTAAATCATTCCACGGTACTGTTACTATAAGATTTCATGGTTACTGTTATAAGTACATATTTAAAAACTTAACATGATCAATGTGAAACAAATTAACAGTCTCATGAGCAATGTGAATTTGTGTATGCACATAATTGGGATGATACCTAATTTTATTCATCATAGTTGTGACATAGCAAGCCCCATATCTATGCCATTTATTGTTAGATTGAAGCAAAAAAAAGAAGTATCAACTAATATTTTTCTATCATCTGACTTATGGACTAAATAGTATAACTTTTTTCTCCCTAATAATAGTGCGTTAGAGCTTGTTCTTTTTACTTTAATGAATTAGACATTCTATAATTGGACTGCCATGGAATTGAATACTTTCAATTAATTACACACTTTGTTATTTGCTAATAAGAAATTGTATATTGAGATCAATATTAATTACTACTACTTGGGGGGCAGTGCCAAGTTTAATAATTAATATACTATTGTGATGTTGAGGAAATAAGTATTTTATTAATTAATACCATAATTTTTAAATCTATGGTGGGTTTGATGGCTAAAATATTGTGATATGTAATAATCAGATCAAAAAATACAAACTAAAGCCTTACAAATTGGGATTTAGTTAATTTAACAGGTTACTTTAGTCATCAAATCATTCTTTGTCATTCTTAGCTAAGTTGTTACTTTCAATAGACAAATTGTCTAAAACAAGTATTACTATTAGTAAAGGGGAATCTTATCATTTATCAAGATTAAATGACCTTGATATTTGAGATATGAATTTACTGAAATAATTTTAAATACAATACTAGTAAGGTTTCTCTACTGACTTATATTTGAAGTAATTATTAATATATGGTTATAAAATCAATTGCATTATTTTCCAATGACTAAGCATGAAATGAAACGGGTCACTTGATGATATTTTAGGCACATCTTTTAGTGTCATATAAAAATAATTCTTCACATTGGTCACTTTGTAGCCAATGACAGTAATGAAAAATATAATTACCTACAAATAGACTATTAATACTTCCCTGTCACTTAAGGATAATTTTACAATAATGCACAGTGATATTTCACATCACATTGAAGGAAACACAAACAAACATGTTTTGGTGTTAAATATGTCATGGTAAAAAAAATACAACACTATGTGTACATATGGTGATGTAACAACTATTTATCACAATTATGTTTTTGTATTCATTGGGTCAGCAGTGGCGTCAACACCGTGTTGCTAGGAAACTGAGGATCCGGCCAGCGCGACGCACCGCGTGCGCGATTGCGTCGTGCTTCCGACGTGGAACCGCGCGCGTGCAATCCCATATGCACGTGCCTCGGCCTTCAGGCCGTTTAAGGGCCATTACATAACTATAGGGATCTAGGGACGGTGTCCGCTGCGACGAACCCGTCGCCACTATAGTTGACTAACACCCGTTCCATATTTAGAAGGAGCGCCACCGAATACGTCTCAGCTGCTCCCATGCGCGTCTTGTCTCATTTTTAGAATCACATGTAAACGATACTTTACGCTTCATCTAAAGAATACATATAGTGACATTTATAAGCTATTGACTTGATCAGTTCCATCACGCTAATTAATTTTAGGTAGATAAATCCAAAATGCGTAATAACTTTAAATTTTATGAACCTTTGCCCGAATTGCACCGAATATCTACATTTTAGAAAAGGAAAATGGAAGAGTGAATAAAAGTTTCAAAGAATTCTTACCTTGTTGATGCTATTACTGAGGCACTGCAAAAAATGTTACAATAACAAACGGCATTCCGCGACCTCCGTACTTGCAACCAAATCAACACTTTGATCAACACGCAACAAACATCTCGGACTCAACACCCAATCAAACCATAGACAAAAGAGTAACCTACATAAATAAACATATGATTTGATAATAGGACGCCATTCTATTATTGTCTATTCATGTTATTTGTCAGTGTTTGTCAAAGTTTCATCCACTCATCTGACTTCTTGGATCCAACGATGTAACAAAACCAAAGTGGGTTAGGTTTACCTACTTTATTCTTGAGTGATTCCTAATAGTTATAATTCCTAAAAGAAAATTTTAACAAGTTCGTTTTAGACTAGTTTATATCAATAAATTTTAAATAATCAGGAAATTCATAATTTTCCAAAATTGCATAAAATTAGCTGTGAGTTCATGTCCATAAAAATGCATGCAAAAACTTAACATGTAATTATATGATAGCGTCCTAATGATATCTTTTAAATGTCAAATTTAAATGAATTGCGGCAGATTTTAATAATTAGATAGAATAACTTTAGGCCCCGTGACAGTAATAATAAGTAAGAGACATAAAAAAACGAAAATCACAAGCACTAAAAAGCATTTTTGCAGGAAACGAATGGACCAAAGACAGTCATTTCTGTTCCTTTTAATTAACATATTAAAAAACTGAAATTTGAAAAGTTCGAAACTAAGATATCAATACAAATACGAAAAAGTACAAAAAAAATATGAGTTGTTTATTGAGTTTTGAAAACTAATTTACTTTTAAACATGAAAGAAAACCGGAATGGTTGCCATGGAGAAATTAAGAACGTACCGTAGCGACATCTAGTTTGATTTCCGGAACTAATGTTTTTTTTAATACTTCTATTAACAGTTATGAAATAGTAACTATTATTATTAGGTAGAACGTATACTTTTATTATTAGGTAGAACAGTTATTATTTCATTCAAATTCTCGTCTATTGGTTAAAAATATCAGCTAAAGAAAGCATTTCCTCCAAGTAATTACTTCTCGCGACTATAGAAGGAATATGTCATAATTTAAGAATACTTTAAACACAAGTAACAATAATTTATACTATTATCGTTAGTTATTAATAGTTGTTACTTACTCCATTAAAAATCCTGTCTATTGGTTAAAAATATTTGTTTTAAATATAACATTTTCTAAAATATAATATTTTCTAAAATATTATTTGCTTAATATTTGCTTAAAATATATTATTACTTCTCTAGACAATAGATAGATAGATACGAGTTTAAAAGTAACAACGACGACACATCACAACACAGAAATGTGTATCCGCCTCAAATACCTATAGGGATAGGCATAGTCAAGTTTTTGTGGCTGCCAACCATATGCCAACGCACGCAACTTGGTTTTGTTTTACCTAGGAACATGGTTGGAATAGATAACAAGTTGGACGTCATTTTTTCTTTTTTACCTGGCAACAACGTCATCGACCAAAACGAAGAAAACACGTTAAACTTGACGTGGACTAAAGTAGCTGGCACACTTTGACGAGAAAAATAATAGAATTATTCTATATATTCACATGTAAAGTCGATATTTTCGCTTCATTTAAGTTCACATGGTTGTTTCTTGAAATAAGATGGCTACAAATTTCGTAAGTACATAGTTTTTCATAGAACAGTGAGCGTTTTCACAACCTATATCCATCTATATTCGGTGATGTGTATAATTTGCAAAGTTCTAGTATAATCCCGGCTTTTCCTTCGTTACAGAATTTGTATGGGGTGTTATGTGCAGTTCTATTCCCTTTATTTTTAATACAACGGACGGATGCTGCAGCAGTTATATCTATCGATTTCGGTTCAGAATGGATGAAAGTAGGCATTGTGTCGCCTGGTGTTCCGATGGAAATTGTATTGAATAAGGAGTCAAAGAGGAAGACTCCGGCTGTTGTCGCGTTCAGGGATGGAGTAAGAACCTTTGGAGAAGACGCCGTCACGGTCGGCGTGAGATTTCCGAAAAATTCTTACAAATATTTATTAGATTTGCTTGGGAAACCATATGATCATCCGATGGTACAAGCATACAGGTCAGTAAATGTGTATATATTGTGTAATACATGAAATTTTACTGATTAATAAATTTTTGAGTCATGTTTTAAAAAATTTGGACTCACCAAACTAACACTTTTCACAATAGCCTTACTTATATTTTAAACAATTTCCAGTCCTATTTCACGGCCTGTCTGTAATTAATAAGCAAGGCAATTTATTTATTTTTTGAACAGTAGCCTAATTATCTAAATTTTAAATCTATCACCATCACTTTCAAACATACAGCAGTTGTGATAGTAATGTGTGGGATTTTGTAACTTTCAAAGTCACAATTGCTTTTAGTCGTGATGATTTGAATGATATAGATTTTCATAGATAATTCATTTGGTTTAGTTGTTGTTATATTGTCAAATAATCTTTATGATTTTGTATGATTGTAATTACTTGTCCTATTTTGACTAAAGAATAAAATAATTGATTCATATAAACAAAATAATAGAATTTTAGATCATTTCACTTTTGACAAACACAATGTTTTATTTCAACAAAATCATAAAACCATTTCATTGTAATAACCAAATGTACTAAGCATGTATTATCTTAAAGTATTTGTCACTGAGGAGTGTGAAAAACATGCATATTAAGACTATTTACTCTGTTTTAAGGTGTCAAAAGTCTCTTATGAAAAAGCTCCACAGGTGCAGTGTTCCTATCATATGACTAAGCATTAATTACCCTTACTAATTTTATGCATTTAGAGATCTATCTAGATCTAGAGGGGGCACTGCCAACAAAATTTTGAAGCCATACCTAACTAGATACATACTTTATCTTAAAAGCTAAACTTTGTGTTTCATTTTAAGTTTGAGATATTTAATGTATTATGTAAGATTTTTTTAGACAATTAGGCCATAGGCTAAGGTTTCAGACCATACTGCTTCATCGTTTATAAGCTAGGCTATGATAAGGATTGTATTTACAGGCAAAGGTACCCATATTATGAATTAGTAGAATCAGAGCGTGGAACACCTGAGTTTGTTCATGATGATAAAACAAGATTTACTCCTGAAGAGTTGATAGCTCAATTGTTAGCTAAGGCGAAAGAGTTTGCTGAAGTTAGTCATGGTAAGTATTATATTAATATTATAACTTGTTCAGAAAATTCAGTAAGCTTAAGTTGGCGACATGACTTTATATCTCATTTGGACCAAGAACCATCTTGATTTCTGATAGCCAATGGTTTTTATAGATGACGTTTTGGAAATGAACTATAATATATTTATTCTGACTATCAGATCCCATTGTTATCAGTGATCTGAGTATGGAAATTTCATTATAGTCTTAGTCTCTCGACTTTCTCTAGTAACAGCCTAGACTGAATAAATGATTTGATTTGATTTGAGTACAAATAATGAGAATGGTGATTTCTTTCAATACATTTTTAATTTGTATAATAAAATAAATATATTTTTAAATGTTATTTCAGGCCAACAAATAAGTGAATGTGTAATCACTGTACCTGGATACTTCAATCAAGCTGAACGTCGCTCTATGAAGGAAGCTGCTGCCCTAGCTGGACTTAATGTTCTACAGCTCATCAATGATTATACTGGCATTGCTATCAATTATGGCATATTCAGAAGGAAGGTGTGTCAGTTGATTCAATAATTACCCATTAATCAATTGAATTTATTCCTTTACATATATATATTTAATATCAACAAGTATTTGTTTCCATTTGCTAGTTATGGGGACTTAGTTCGGTTATCTGCTTTTAGAAAAGTGTATTATTATTAATGGGGATATTGAAACATTAGTTTCCTTAATATAGTTGAATAATACTTTAATAAGTAGCCTTTAATCTATCTTAGTGTCAATTTTTTAATGGTATTGACATAAGTGAATAATGTTTGCAAATTGAATGCATTGTTTGAATCAAGTGTGTGTTCTTTTAGGAAATCAATGAAACTGCTTGGTATGCATTGTTCTTTGATATGGGAGCTGCATCAACCAAGGCTGCTCTTGTAGAGTACAAAACTGTCAAGATAAAGGACAAAGGCTATGTTGAGACAGTCCCGCAGCTGCAGGTTATAGGTGTTGGTTTTGACAGGTGTGTAATTTACTGTTTATAAATAAAATCAGGATTCTTTCTTTTTCGAAAAGATTAAGTAAAGAAAAAAATTATGAAGAGGATGAATATGAAACTACCCAACATTTCAGTCTCTTCTCATTTTTTTTTTATTTATTAAATAATATAAAACATCATAACATTATAATACAAGATATTTCACAACAATTACAGTGTAAAAAGTATTATTTAAAATGCATTTTATCATCAATGAAATTTTTAACACAGCATTTTCAGAGATAAAACATGAATACATTAATTAATATTCATAATGAGAATGAATACTACAAGGTCAATTTTTTTTATACAATGGAACATGTGTTATTTAAATATCTATTGAAATTTCAGAACTCTTGGAGGTCACGAGATGACCCTTCGCCTTCGTGAGCACTTAATTAAGGCGTGGGAAGCGAACGGTGGAGGTGACGTTAGGGCTTCGCCCCGTTCGATGGAAAAGTTGCTTCGGGAAGCTGAGCGAGTCAAAGTTGTATTGTCAGCTAATTCAGAGCATTATGCGCAAATAGAGAGTTTGCTAGATGATAAAGATTTTAAGCAACTGGTAAGTCATTTCAAGTTGTTTATTTGTGTTACATGATCTCTAAAATATAATTTCATCTGGTAGTCTTAAAGAAAAATGCTTAAAAAAACCACTTTGTCCATGGCAGTTTGAGATGGGACTCGAACCTAATATGAGAGACTGCGCTAACTATTGAGCTACCCAGTACCTAACACGACTGGCAAATTTTTCAAGCCCTTGTCACTTTTTCACTACTACAGAGTGTATTTTCATCAATGTTCAGGCAATCCACCCAAACAGTTGAAAGATTTTTTTTACAAATATTTTAAACTTTCGATGAACATGAAAATTTGTTCTAATTATTATATTTGAACAATTTTTCATTCACAATGCTATACCAAAAACTATTCTTAATGAAAAATACTGGATTTTTTAAGAATTTTTCATTAAATGAACAACTTTCAAATGTTTTATTGATGTTTTGAACCCTTTGCAAGAACATCAATTAATTTGTATGGAATTCGTCGGATAGGTGACCAGGTCGCAGTTCGAGGAGTTGTGCAGTGATCTGTGGGGTCGTGTGTCGGGCGTGGTGCAGCGTGCTATAAGTGCGGGGGGCGGGGCGGGGGCGGGGGCCCGTCTCGTGCTGGCGGGGGGGGCCGCGCGCGCGCCTGCCGTCAGGGACGCTCTACAGGCGGCCGTCGGGCACGAGCCGGCGAGATCAATCAACGCCGACGAGGCTGCCACCATGGGCGCTGTGTATAGGTATAATCCTCACCGCCGTATAAGCGTCACCGCTTTAGGCCAAGTTCAGACAATAGGCGTTAAACGCGCGTTTTGCTAAAGCGCGCTTCTAACTACACACATTTTGTTCCGGCCGTACAGATCTAACGCGCGTTTTAATAAAGCGGATATATAATGTAAATATATATAATGTTAGGATATATAATGTAATGGCTTTCAGTCAGCCTGTGTGATAAAATTGGGTGGACCAAATATCTCGGTCTTCTGTCGGGTTGCTTCTGCCGACGGTATAAAATTATCGTTAAAACTGTTTCTCCGTCCATCTTTGACAAATGTAGAACTCAAACAGAAACAGGGCGGCCGCGACAACGAGCGTTTAACGCCCGAAAAACGCGCATTATGTGAACACTATACAAAAATTCAACGCGCGTTGAGCGCTTGTCATCTGAACTTAGCCTTACTGTGGAGATCGCACTAAGCGATTCGCCTCTACATTCATCGTGCGAACTGCGAAGCTGTGGAATTCGCTATCGGACTCGCTGTTTCCGGGCAAATACAATCTGGGACTCTTCAAGTCAAGTGTGAATCGGTTCCTTTTAGGCAAGCACGCTCCATCTTAGACCACTGCATTGCTTACCATCAGGTGATCTGTGGCCAAGTGCTTGCCTATTTAGCATAAAAAAAAAATCTCCGCCAATTGTTAATGTGCCTGGCCGCCATTTTGGTGACGTAATTATGTTCAACAATCAGTACCGTTGACAAATAAAATCTGGTTGATGAGTGCACTTAATGCGATGGGTTGGTTGTGATTTTTTTGTGTATCAAGCAATGCAATAATAATTATCATAGATATTTATTTTCAATTTAACCCTTAACTAATTGATGAAGTCGATGGCACAGTATTTAGTGCGTTCGGTCTGCGATGTGGAAATCAAGCAACTATTGCAAGGGTTAGTTGTAGGATGGGTAATCAAAAATGAATTAAATCGAGCTCCTACGCACTTCGGAAGGTATGTCCCAGCTACAGTTGTTAAAACTTGTTAATCCACACTGGGATTTGCTTTGTGGATTTATTCTATTTATACCATTTGTCATCTATTCTATTTGTAAGATAATTATTTTATTTTAAAATCTATTTTAATTCCTTTCAACTTAATATTTGAAAGATATTCACGAACTTTACTAATTTATAGGAAGGCTTGTATTCCAGTAGTGGGGACATTAATATATTTATTTATTTTTTATATCACATGATTTTTGTTAATAGAGCGGCGTCCCTTGCTACTGGCTACAAAGTGGCTGCACTAAACGTTCGAGATGCTGTACTTCTGCCGATTCAAGTTACTTTCACTAGACACGTCGATGGCAACGATAAATTGGTGAGTTTCATTTGCTTAAGTCAGTGATTGACCATTGTACATATTTTTAAATAGCATCTGGTGTGTCATCCCGTCTACAACTAAAAAGCCAGCATATTAATTTATCATAAAGGATGTCACTCACTATAGATCTATTAAATCACCGGTTTTTTTTAATTTGTTAGTCATTAGGGACCATATGCAAAATTCTACATGACCATGGAACATCCTGTTTGCATATTTCGTAGCATCTGAATGTAGAGAAACAGTAGTTCTATGTGTTTATATTATTACAAAATCTCCACTCCAAATCCTACTTGAGATAATAGATCTACTTATAGAAAAATTCCTTTGTCAAATATCCACAAACTTAGTAAATGTATGTAATGATAATGGTATTTCCTTTGAAACGCTTATTGAACATATATTTTGATTATTTCAGGAAGTGGTAATGTATTTTGTAGAATTTATTTAATATTTATTCTGGAACTAACCAAATAACTGAGTGTGCTTTTATCTATTAGAATAATTTATCTATTAGCCGGTCCCTTCGAACTGATCACTCGTTAGCGCGTACCGCTCGTACCGCTGTCAACGCGGATAAATTAAAATGTTGGCCAATCAGAATGGTTCAAGCATGGCATTGGGTGATCCACCAATATCCATCCGTCTGAGCCCCGTTGAGTGTAAGATTGACACCCAATGCATAGTATTTTACACCTTACGCTTATTGGAACAAGACTCACTATAAATTTGCGTCTTTAATTAATAGAAAATTAAGCCGAGTAAAAATACGATTTTAACTCTTTTAAATCATTATTATTTCTTATTATAGATAGTTGATGTGCCTTTACGTTATTTAGTAACGCTCACCGAAGCGCCAGTTCGAAGCGAACGCTTAGTTTTTTGTTTTTTATATATTGCTAACTTTCGTTACGTTCATTTATTTTCTAACATTATATTCATTTGTTACAGATTAAGAGAACCCTCTTTGGACCCATGAATCCTTATCCTCAAAAGAAGGTAATTACTTTCAATAAACATACTAATGATTTCACATTCAATGTTAATTATGCAGAATTGGATCATATTCCTTCAAACGAACTCGTTTACATTGGGTCTCCGAATCTCACGCATGTCGTATTGACCGGAGTTAGTGCCGCATTAGCTAAACATACTGGGGACAATGTAGAACACAAAGGAATCAAGGCACATTTCAATATGGACGATTCTGGAATCCTTAATTTAGTCAACGTAGAGTTTGTCGCCGAAAAAACTGTGACAGAAGAGGAAGATAAAGATAGTACGTTATCTAAAATAGGTAGTACTATTAGCAAACTATTTGGTTCCGATTCGGAAACACCAGAGAAAGTAGAGGAAAAACCGGAAGAGAAACCTGTGGAGGCTGAGAAGAATGATACAGTGAAAGCCAATGAAACTATAACCGAGAAACAAAATGCTACAGAAACAGAAAAGCCCAAACCTAAAATTGTTGTACTAAAAGAACCTATTAAAACAGAAGAGGATATATTGAATTTGAAACCTCTCACTCCAGAACAATTTAAGACTGCAAAATCTAAGATCAATGAATTGAACGCTATTGATAAAAAACGCGTGGAAAGAGAAACTGCTCTGAATAACTTAGAGGCGTTTGTTGTAGATGCTCAAATGAAAATTGATATGCCAGAATATGCAGAATGTGGCACACCGGAACAAATTGAAGAAATTAAGAAAATATGCAGTGAGACCTCCGAGTGGCTATATGAAGACGGTTACGAAGCTGAGACTGAATTGTTTGAGGAGAAATTAGCTTTACTCAAAGAGAAGACTAATCCTATATGGTACAAGCATTGGGAACACAGAGAGAGGCCCGACGCCGTAGCAGCGATCCGTAACATGCTCAATAGTTCCCAAGAGTTCCTTAAAATGGCCAAAAACTTTACCAAAGAGTCCAACTCTGAAAGAGATGTATTCACAGAAGTTGAAATTGAAGTACTCGAAAAGAAAATAATTGAAACTGAAACGTGGGTTAACAAATCTATCGCGGAACAAGAGGCTTTGAAGAAAAATGAAGATATTAAACTGACTGTTGAGAGTATACGAGAAAAAATGAGTAATTTGGATAGGGAGGTTAAATATTTGTTGAATAAGATGAAGATATGGCGACCTAAGAAACCTGTTAAGAAAGAATCCGATAACAAAACTGAAGAGACTGTTGTTGAGCCTGAATCTGAAAAGTTAGAGACACAAGAAGAGACCCCCGAGGTTGAGACAGAGACAAAAGTCGATGATGGTAAAAAGGAAGACTCGAGTGGGGCAGATACTGAGCCTCCATTACAGATAGGAGAGGGCCAAGATGAACATTCCGAATTATAATATTTATGAGATGAACTTAAATTAATGTAATTTATTTTTTATTTTGAAAGTCGGTGTGACTTGTTCGCATTTCGTGCTGTTGGTTGGTGTGCAAATGGATATTGAACGAATGGACTTTAAGCGCATTTAATCGAGGTTTTAGATGGTTATTGATATAAAGAATTATACTATCTTGTATATTTATAGTCTAAATCGTTTGTGCGATGTATTTAGAACTCTAGTTGACTTAATTTATTTACAACAATTTTACTGATATTTAATATATCGGTTAGGTTATTATAATATTGTTATGCTATTAGCACAAACTCATGTTTTACGATGTGCGAAAAGCGAACACGTCATTATACTTAAATCTCAAACTAGCGTGGCCGCTTTTCAACCTTTTTGATTCCAATTGTAATTTTATTGTTACGTTTACATTTATATTCGTTAATATTTTCTTTCACGAGAGCGGCTTCTCTCTTTAAGTTTTCTACGGTTTTGCAGTGGCCCCTGACCGATAGGACGCGAGTATATTATATTTATTGTAGTTAACTATTATGTGATATGTATATGGCTATAAGTTTGTGAGAGTATTAAACCTTCTTCGCTACAGACTAAATAAATGTGATCAAAATATTTAGTCCTATTTTTGAGAAACGTTAGGAAGTACGCCTACGTTTCGAATATACGAGTACATGTAAAGTTATGTGAAAAATGGCAAGCTGTTCGAATATAAAACCTATTTCAATTGATCTTCAGGTTCTTTTTTTTTCCTATCTAATGATACATTATAACGATGTAAGAATTAAGTGATTTCGAACGTACAGTTGGATCGTACTAAAAACAAGAAGTCTGTAGCGGCGAATTTGCGAAATGTAAACTCGGTAACTGAGATTTGTTCAATACCCAGTCGCAAAAGAAAATAAATTATACAATGAATGAAATATTGTTGTTTTATTTGCAATTGCAATAATGATTTATTATTTATACCTCACGGTCTATATTGATTGTTTTTACACAAATAGAGCTATAATAAATTATTCTACAGTCTTTGAAATATTGAAAAGTTTTCTGTAGCCAAAATATTAGTTTTTTTTTGCGTTTGCGATTTTTGATAATCCGCAAAATATTTCATAACTCCAACTTTTCTAGTGTTCATTGACATCATATATTTTATTTAGATTTTTCTCTGTTATCTTAAAAGATACAGACACACACATCACTCTGCAAGTGTCTCGTCTATCTTTTAAATTGAATCTGAGAAAAATATTTTAAGAACCTTTAATGTAATTTTTAGCTTCAGTTTCTTATATTAACCTGTTTTAATGTTTCTTTAAATATCGTCAAGCGGTTCATATAATACCTACCTACGTACCAAGTTTAAACTGATGTGAGTAGTTTTAATAGTTTTAGAATAAAGTGGAGTACAGACATGACAATTCTAAAGGTTTAGTTTTCTTAGGTACATTATAGGCTACGAAAGAAAAATCAACTCTAAAAGTTCTTTTTTTGTTTATTGAGAATATTTATTACTGCACCGCAGATTTATTTAAAGCCAATAATTAAAATTCTTGTGTATGTCTGTATACTATCTACTTCCTACTATCTAATAAAATTTTCAGTGAGTAGAAATATACATGCTATGCTACCTAATTTTACTACTTATTAAGATATTACATCACAAATTGTAAGTTATTACATTAAACTTGAGTGGTTTCATCGATATTGTAACGTTAACGACGTAGTTACGTATTCGATGGCAAAGCCCAATGGAAGCAAATTCGATCCGCTCTAAACGTTCGTGAATCGGCCAAGTTAATCAAGATTTATAGGGAATTATTCTGGGTTATGCGCATAACGCGAGAGGTACCTTCATCCACACCATACGTAACTATTCACAGCGATTTGATCTCGGTACATTGCCGACTATTGTAAATTAAAGGTCAATTTTCATTTACACTATTTAAGTAATAGGTAATTTCTAAGTAGCGTCCAAACGTAGGCGAGGCAAGGTTGGGCGGATGCCGCTTTTGAAGATAATTCGGACTCTTGAGTGAATTCAAATTCGGGTTTGGATTTTTATTTTTACAAAATAAAGGGCTGTTAAACTCAACTCATCAAAAGCTTACTACTTTTAGTTCAAACGACAATAATAACTTAACTCACCAATGTCGCAAGTTGACTCGCTACTGTACATATTGAAGTGTAAATAGGACTTAAAGCGAGATGTACCTATGCTTGCGACAGTGTATGGTGAACAATATTGTTTAAACGATTGGGGTGTCCGATTTCGAAATATGTCTGACACGCACCGAAGCCAATTTCGTTACGGATGTGCGCCCGTTTTGGTTCAGGATAGGTATATCCAATAACAAGTTCTGACTAATGTAGAATTATTTGGATTAATTTGATAGCGTAATCGAAACAGGATTGAAGTATTAACATGACATCTGAAGGCTTATTCTATTTTCCCAAAATGAAATTTCGTCTATTTTCGAAATGCTAATACCACTCAATTTCGTCTTTTTGGAGTCGTATCATGTTTGGATTCATGAAACAAAGAAGTTAAAACTTGACGCTGTCTTATGCACAGATAATATTTCCGGATGTGTTTTTAATAAAATTATCGTTCTTTATAATTCGAAATTTTTCGAATTGTCGTTATAGGACAAATAGAATAGGCCCTCAGGTGTCATGTAAATTCGTCCGCGAGATAATCGATTACTCGTGTAAGTATATGTGTGAATGTTTTGGCGAGTTACGAGGATCATACAAATATTATTGATAAAGTACCTGTACAATACTTATTTATTTATAATGACTAGATTACACATTCAATTTGTGTAAATATCAGTGGTGTGTAAATATAGTAGAACTTTAAACTTTCTTCCTGAATGAATATTAGATATACGGTCAGTTGCACAAACGTCCATTAAGGTTTAAGGACGCCTTTAAGCTCTAATGAATGTCAAACTTGTATGGGTAATGCCGCTTTAAACTAATGATAATTTTAATGGACGTTTGTGCAACTGGCTGTTAGTCATGACAAATACTTAATGTCACACATGATTAAAACAAATACCTAATAGTATCACACATTATCTGCCACATAATGTCTTAAATCACTTTTTCGGAGTCTGTTTTATTTTTTAATATTTTTATTTACAAATATGAAAAAAAAGTTATTTATGTTTTTTTTTGTATCGAGAAAATTTTATAAATGAATTATCCATTTTACTGTGACAAAACTTTGAAATATGGTGTAGTTTCTCATATAAAATGCGAACAGCTCATTTGCACGATATTTCTTTGCGAAACCAATAAAAATGCTCACTTGTTTTTTTTTTAATTAAAATAAAAAAGGGATCTTTTGAACTGGAATTTGCACAAATTGGCCTCGGTTGGTGTATTTTACACGTGTTAACAAATCACGACCAGCAAGGCGATTCTGTAAAAATCCGAACACGAATTCGAATTTACTCATGAATCAATTCACGTCATTTAGTGAATAAATTCTATTGATTCCATTTTTTTTTGTATAGAAATACATAATTGATTGATTATACGTGTGTCAGATATTCTATTCCTATGTCATTTCGAGACTCACCTCACTTATGCCACGAAACATTATTACCGATTCAAGATTGAGCAGATGCCGTTCGCTTTAAGTGAATTCGAATTCGGGTTTGGTTTTTACAGAATAGTAGGGTTGTTCTCTTCTAATGTCTTATTTTTATCCGAGCCGAGTCGAGTAGCATTAATTAGATAATAAGGTTTAGAATCGCATAATCATAGAGACTACCGCATTGGATTAAAACCAAGCATTACCCGGGAGAATGATGTTAATCTTCCAGTAATTAAGATTGGCAATTAAATAGGCTATTAAAACGTAATGTGCAGTTCGCTAGGTTGTAAAAAGAGGATGGATTGGAAGCGAAATAAAATTAATGATGTCTCTGGGTCGCCACCTTTAGGGAAACAATATCAGGGACATTCGGGCAGTCACCAGAAATAATCGCCCTTCAGTCCAATATTGATTCTTAATATCAGCAAAAGACTGCGGGAAAAATAAAAAAAGTCTTTTTAAGTATTATTTATTTTTATGAAATAAAAAATAAATAATGAGGTGATTAATAGACATGAAACCCGCCCGATGAGAAGTGGTCTTCTCGGCAATAAGTTGATGAACCATAGGTAATAGCATGTGTACTTTTGAAACTATTTTCAAAGATTTTTTTTTGTCGAATTTAACAAAATCTGGACAATATACATATTAAAGCGAGACGATGATGCTGTCCATCATTGAAATCGGGATTGTACCGGAAAATTTGGAACGGGTGGCCACCCTGTCTGGAGTTGTTGTCGCGGTAGGAATGTGGTATAACGAACTTCAGAGGCTCTGAATGGTCAATTAAAAACGAGCTTTTCGTTTACGACACATTGTTGTACTTTAACATTTTTTACGTATACAGTCAACCTCGTGTCAGTATATACTGAAACGTTAAATCTCCACTTGATTTTAAACCTTAATGCTATTACGGTAGAGCGCAAAATAAAACGCGGAAATTGGAAATTTTATACAAAAAATGTTTGGATCACTCACTGACTTACATAATTTCAAATTAATCAATACAATAGTTTCGTGGAAAACCGTGTTACCCTATTATGGTATATTTCGTTTTGTATATTAAATAAAAAAATATAAAATATCTTTAAACATATAAACAAAATATAGTGTCCAATAAAGTCCACAATGTCAATAATGAGTTAAAGTCTAATAAAAGAAAATGGCTATTTGCCTACAGGCGCTGAAAAGAAAAATACGATTAAGATTGAACTTTTAAAGGTATAACTCCATGTAAGTGGTAACTTTACGTATAAAAGTCGCATTAAGGAAGATGAGACAGCGTTTTATCGTTAAGAAAATGTCAAGGAACCTTCCATGTAAGGCGAGTGGGCAAATAACACCCTACTTACACGAAATCTGGTTTTTAAATTATCAAAAAGGGTGCGACGAC